GTCATGTGTGTGTAACATATGCATGCGTACGTGTGTGTGTGTGAGTAGTTTTCTTTACTCTGGCACTATTTCGCAAAGCAAGAAAATAAACTCGAATTTCCATATTTTAGTTAACACTATTGACTGGCCCTGTAGGACCTGGACCTTTCACGCAGCTGCGGGGTTTCCCACGGCGAGACACCTGCCGCAGCTCCGAGTCACCTGGGAGCACCTGGAACAGCACCTGCAAACGGCTGAGGGAATGTTGGAACAGGTCAAGAGGCACCTGAGTTCTCCGGACATGTGGATCGGTAGGATGAGTGACTATTTATTTTCCTCAGGCTCGTGGCCCATATCGATACAAAGTTTGTAAGATAATAAAACACATGAAGAAAACTACCATGTCCTACCAGGGATGTTCAATCGGAGTAATGCCGCCAGAAATGCCGTGGCCGACAGAAAGCATTAGAATAAAAATTGATAGATGTTGTCAGAACTTAGGAGTCGTGAAACAAACGAAGGGGTTCGTGTGCAGTGTTTCGCATCAAAAGCGTCGCTACCGTTAATGGCAAATATATAGTACTGGTGTTCCAACAGTGCCACATGTACATTGTAGTTTGGCCATTGAACACATACTGTAGTTATATGTAGGCTTAGGTAAACGTTGTGCAAGATAGCCTGGTGCCCGGCCTTCTGGCTGGATACCAGGCTAAGTACAAGACTTTGGTAATTTTTCAACCACATCTAGTTCTACTAGCTATAGATTCATTAAAAGCACATCCGTGTTAAAGACATAGATATACAGTACTTTGTTACCAAATTTCAAGGTCAAAAGTGTATTTCTATTGAGTTATTTCCCTGACAAGCCTTCCTTGTTTATCACTATTTCCCAAGAAGGAGAGTCGTTGGCGTACTGTTATGCGTTTTGTTATGTACATGTACAACTTGTCTTGACGCATATTAAAACGCTGACGAACTGTTGACTTTGTTTTCAGATTGCTCGGCCATTTTCAACTCGTCGAGCGGGACGGCCAGAAGCGGCGTGTACACCATCCGCCTGGCGGGGGCGAACCGATCCGTCCCCGTCTACTGTCGCATGGAGGGCGGGCAGGGCTGGACGGTCCTCATGCGGCGTCAGGACGGCTCCGTGGACTTCTACCGCACCTGGGAGGAGTACAAGCTCGGCTTCGGCAACCTGTCCACGGAGTTCTGGCTCGGCAACGACAACATCCACCTGCTGACCAACCAGGCCAGGTACGGGCTGCGGGTAGATTTGGAGACGTTCGACGGAGAATCGAGCTACGCCCAGTACCGGAGCTTCTCCGTCCAGGACGAGGCCTCCAAGTACAGGCTGATCCTCGGGACATGGCTCAACGGGACCGCCCGCGACGCTCTCCGCGTCAGCAACAACTTCACATTCGCCACATGGGACAATGACACCGTTACCGCGACGGCCGTCAGGTTCAGGAGTGCGGGGTGGTTATCCAACACGTATTTCCCCAACCTACACGGCGTGTACTACACTCCGCAAACCGTGCCGACCAACACAAAATGGCCTCTTGATACCATCAGGTGGTACCACAGGATAAATGATAAGGGCAGATTTTACCCCTTACTGAAGTTTGTTGAGCTGAGGGTCGCACCTGAAGTTACATGAATGATGTTGACGATTTTCCTGTCAGGGCGTCGTGGTCACATTCGTCGTGAGGTAGCCTTACAACACCGAGTCGTGGATGTGTCGTACAAAACCCAACTGTCTTGTGACTGACAAACTTGCTGTAGATCCTTACCGACGACAGATTCTGTCTTAGTCCCGATGAAAATTGTACAACAAAAATAATCGTGCGACGAATGTGACCACGACGTCTGTACATTGTATCGCCACATTTCCACATATTCAGAAGTAGAATGTTCCTAAAAAGAACTTTAGATGTTGAATAGTTTTCTTCTCTTTTCTAAATTTCACTTTTTGAAAAGTTATCTGACAACACGATGTACTAATATCGATCTAGATGTTGTGGTAATGTTAAGCTACCGTGCTCCACTCCTCTGTAGTACAATGTTGTTCATCATGTACATAGCACGCGCTGTACGTGTGGTAGACTAATTAGAAATATTTCCTTCACATCTTGCTTGATTGCTAACATACTTCATGATCCAAGCCTCCCCAGTAGAATTACCAGACAAAACGGCGAGCGCGTGCCTCCACCCACATGCCCTGAAGCCCTCACCAGCGAAGACGGCTGGCAGGTACACCCACTCCCACGCTCCGACGCCCTCACCCGCGAAGACGGCCGGAATGTACCCCCACTCCCATGCTCCAGAGCCCTCACCAGCAAAGACGGTGGGCATGTACACCCACTGCCATGCTCCAGAGCCCTCACCAGCAAAGACGGCGAGCATGCAGACCCACTTACGTGTTCCGAAGCCCTTACCAACGAAGACGGCGACCAGTGACCAGCCTTCTACACCTTCACAACGCTATGTGATCTGCAGAGAAGGCGCAATTGTTGGCCTGGAATCTGTAGCAATACGTGCTTCCAGAGCCCCCTGCTCTCTCAACTGGTGTGGCATGACCATGTCCTGCTTGTCCATCAATACTGTTGTGGTTGCGGGGAGATCGTCGCAGATGTTCCTCCTTCAACTTGTGTACTTCTGATAAGGTAGTAGTGCTGTCTATGGTGACCAGGCCGTGCTCTACGTATATAAACAGAATCTTGTAGAAGTTCTTAATACCGGGAAAGGAATAGGTGGGAACGTCGAGCATGAGCCCTTTCAAAATATGGCCCCTGTTTTGACTCTCCATGGGATTTGTATGAGGACTTAGAATGATGGCCATTTCGCCAGCCACAAGTTGATCTAAAGTCAGCGAGTCATGAGTGATGGTGGTGTTGGCAGAGAAGACGAATTCATGCGGCCAGTTCACTTCTCGAACTACTCTGTCATGTGCTTTTCTCGAAAGACCGCTACTGAGCTTCTTACCTTGGGTCGGCGGGTGCGCGTACTCGTCAGAGACGTGTTGAAGGTTGAACTGCATGGGACGTCCGTCAGAGCTACGGATCGTATCGGCGACGTGAGTCCCGCCTGTCTGCCTCGGGAAATACTGTGTGAAAATGGACGGGTCGTTATGCGCCTTGTGAAACGCCCGGACCTCACGCAAGGTTGGATAGTGGCCATCCGGTGGGGCGATGGGCTTAGGAGCTCTTGTTGAAAGGCGTTGGTGGCGGCCATCTTGAGGATCTTGCGCAAGGGCTTCTGGGATGGTCGACCTCTGACCGATGACGTCGCCGTGCGTGGGGAGGGGGGTAGACGTGGATTCCGTCCGGTTTTCCAGGCCCATGTCGACCTTCATTTGCTCTATGCGTCTGGAAACGTCTAAAATTTCGTTGTCTAGCTGCTCCGCGAGGTTGTCTGTTGGAGTCGAAAGCCATTCAGGGTCGTCCTCCGCAGGAGACGCGGCGTATCGCGCGGGGAGTTTAATCTTTCTCTTGCCGGCTCCAAACATGGTCGGGGGTAAAACTCGGGACGGAGAGAGTTCCGAGGGGCCAAGGTAAACCCAGGGGACGGAAAAAATATATATAAAAACTAGAGTCCGAGTGGTCTAAACCGAGGAGGCGTCTCCAAAAAGCGCGGGAAGTTGCAGCACACTCTGTCTCTGTCAGCGCTATTACCCACGTTACTGCAGCGCTGCGTGACGAACTGTAGAATGAGGGAATGTCCGTGCATGTCCCGACACGCTCTCTTCGGGGTCACGTGTTGGAGACTCGTTGTCTCGCGAGAGTTTTCGTGCCAATTCCATCATATGGTGGCACCATCTGAACATAATTACTGTTACATTCCGCAGCTCTCAGACATAGTGATTTCCGTTCATGAATATAATGAGCACAGAAACCTGCTTAGAAGTCGCCATCGGGAGTATGTTTGGTGTTTCCCGTGGTATTCAGGTCGACATGAAAGGGTCGGGGGAGTGGTGACTGTCGGGGAAGTGTGGTAACGGGTGTGTTTACATGGACTATGTACAGTCAGTGCAACGCTGGTATTAATACAAGAAAACGATATGTTTACTGTGAATTTTTGTCTGTGTGAGTCTGTGTGTGTCTGTAAATACAGTAACTAATGTGTGTGTTTGTAAACAGGGTAACTAAAGAAGGCTTGGATGGATTGTGCCATGCAATATTTGGTAGGTGGCTAGGTTTTAATGACACTTCAAAATGATTATATTTTGGCCCCCCTGGCGAATTGTTACGGTACTGCAATAGAGCTTCCGGTTTTAACTTTGAACTTTAACTTTGAACTTTATTTGATAAAAACAACATGGCAGGAGAAACTCATGACTTGTGTTGTGATTTTACAAGTCTAAAATTCAACATACAACAGTTTGAAATTCAACGATAAAAAGCATTATTAATTATAAAAAAGTCATTATTGATTAAAATATAGCACATATAATGTGGCCGCTATACAATTTTAAGACAAGCTCACATACAAATAATTAACTTGAGATGTTTACTATCTCGTGATCTGGACATGCTGTGTAATTGAGGCTGTTCTACAAAACATGGACATGAGGCCAATTAACTTGAGATGTTTTACATGAATCACAGATGGCTGGAACCTTTCTTCAAATTCACAAGGGCTTCTCAACAGCACAGAAGGGTAGTGATTCAGTTAGTAGTGACAAAGTTAGCATACAAGAAGGGATATGTATTACATAAGGCCACAGCATGTAATTTTTATGGATGACATCAGCGCGCGCATTAATTTTCGCCTCATTTTGGAAAAAAAAAACAAGAAATTTTGTTGCTCTCTGGTCAACATGCTGAAAATAGGCAATTGCTTGTCATGCCGGAACGTGGATAACAGATAGATAGGAAGAGCGGAGACAATGCTCTGATTTCTTGTTTTGTCTTTTACTTTGATGCAGGTTATACATTTCGTTTATATGTGATGGTGGCTGTGTATATCTGATGTTCCCACTGAATCAAAACCATTTGTACAATGATTGAATACTTGTTTTTCAAAGTTATTTCAGTGGCAAATGGATAATGTAATAGTTGTCAGTCAACGTACCACAATATATGTATCATTTCTTGTTTGACAAAATTTATGATGTCAAAATTTGAAAATGTCGGAATCTTCTTTTTTTTAGCCCGTCTTATTTTTTTTAGCCCTGTGGCATTAGAATTGGAGTCTGCGGAAGATGGCATCCATAAAATTTACTTGCTGTGGCCTAATGATAAAATGATAAAAATACAACCCCATTGCTGATTGTATATACTGAATAACAACTATGAGATAGCCTTACAAACCGGCCCATCCGCCCTGACAGTGAGAGATTATATATAACACACGCTAACAAATAGATATTCAGGCTAATATGTAGATTCCCATGTCTACGTCTATTACTCCTTGACGTTGAGTTTCTGGAGATTTTCTGTGGCCAGAGCCTCATAATGCTCGTCCAGATAGTCGTCTGCGAAGCCGAGAATCTGCGTCAGAGCTGACAGGGCCAGGATGTCGATCTGGGTGTCCAGGGATGTCTGTTTGGAGTAGTTCTGCACGGGGAAGATGTGGTACTCCGGCAGGCCCAGCTTCTCGCTAACTTCTTTCACCTGTAGGGGCAAATAACAAAGTCAATTTTAATACCCTTTCTGATAATGCTAAACAACTTTCATTTCTTCGCGGTAGATTGTTCTGTTGCTATGGCATCAACTGTAAAATTATGTTAGCCACACAAAACTACATAACAAAAAATAAACGTTTTAGCTATATGTGTCCTGTTTTGCTTTCTGGGATGGGAGTTTTGACTCATGCTTCAACTAGGTCTCTTATGAATCCACACTTTTTGAAATGTCTTGTAAAATACCTTTATTTTTCATCGTAAAAGTGGCTGCAAGAATTGGTTTGGGCGTCAGTTCTTCACCATTGAAGTATACATTATACATACAAATCACGCAACTTCAGCCATCCCACAGAATCACAATGGACTAACCCACCTTCTCTAGGATGAACCTGCTGCGGTAGACCGTAGAGAGATCTTCAGCAACAAACTCACAAGCTTTATCGACCTTGGTCAGCAAGACAACGGAGGGAATACCTGTAATGACAGAAACAAATAATTAGCAAACGATAACCTAAGGGGACGCGCATTAAAATAAGTTACGTTATATCAGGAAGATCGTACACTATCAAAAATTCAAACATGGCAAGACGGTTACAAAATACACACTAATGCCTACTGGAGAACCCAAAGATGGAAAACAAGATGTTTAGTGATTTTTTTTTGCTTCAGACAGGTAATACAGCTGAGGAATCTGTCTATAGATCTTACCCCGCTTGAGAGCTTTGTTGTAGATGGTTTTGATCTTGTCCATGGCGCCCTGCGGCATGACACTGATGTTACAGATGTCCATGGCCAGTGCCACGCAGTGGGTACGGTCCTTCATACCGGCCATGTTCTTAAACCCAGGCGTGGCCGGGGAGATGTTCACAGCCGCATTGAACTACATGTACGCAAGGAAACGGTAAATTTTCTTCCGTTACTCAAGCGACAATGCCGTGGTGTGACGTTTAGAGTTCAGAGTTCTTTAGCGTTGAGAGTTTAGACTATAGCAAACTGACTGAACTTGAGACATTCTAGCGGCCAGCATCTGTTTCTACGAGCAGATACTGGCCGTTTCTTTTGGGGGTAGAGCAGTATATGGGGCCGCCTAGATTTTCTAGGTGACCCGATCTAGACTTTCTAGGCGGCCCGATAAATAAATATAGAATACAACACAGGTATTCCGTATCGCCCTCGGTATCGGCCCGACCGCGGGTCGGATCGCCCGAAGGCCGCAGGTATGTCATACCCACCCAAGAAAACACGCCTTTCAATGCAAGATGAGCCAAAAGTTGGTGCCACTGAACCCTAAACTGCAACAACATCAATTCCAACGTCCGGATTCTGTATTCGAATTTTCGAAAGGGGCGCACGCGGTTAGGGCGAAACGCGTTCGAATCGTTTTATGGAAGCCAGGGAAGCGTTCGATAACGGGTTCCGGACCGGGCCGTACCGTAACGTACGGCCCGGTC